TGGCCTCAAGTTATCCTCCTGCCTTGGCCTCCCAAAGCGCTGGGATTACAATGAGTCACCATGCCTGGCCCACTCAGGCTTTTAACCCCTGCACACTACGAAGCGTGAACTCACACAAATCACACCCGCAATGGCCACTTTTCAGTGCCCCTAATGTACCAAGTTCCCTTTGGTCCCAGGGCCCTTGAGTATGTTTTCTGCCTACAATGCTCTTTCTGCCGAGAGACTCCCACATGTTGGATTAACCCTTTATATTTCAATTAATCCACTACCTCTTCAGAAAAGCCTCCCCCAAACTGTAAATCAGCTCAAATTCCCCTATTCTACGCTCTATCAGTGCCATGTGCCTCTCCTTTTTGTCTGATGAAAGACTGTTTGGTTAAAGCTTCACTTCCCATTAGACCAAGGGCTCCACGAGGGCAGGGACACTCTGGGCACACGGCCTTCCAGAGCTCAGTGCACTGCAGATGTCCCACAAACACTCAGTGGACAAAGGAACCAAGTTATTTATTAGGAATGTCTCTGGGCCAGCTGACTTCACCTCCTTGGGGCCTCCATCCTTCTTCTGAAAAACGAGGGAGCTGGATTTCACGGTTGCTCGGTCGCTACAAGCTGCCCAAAGCACAGTGAGAATCCCTAAGGCGAGAAGCTCCGCAATTAAGTAAATGGACGTGGTGTCAGTTAACTCCCCATTAGGCACGAGGGAAGCAGGACTAATGGACAGTCCCTGAGAAGCATCACTCGGTCAGTATCTGCTGACAGATTCTCCAACAGACCTTTCCCTCAAGCTACTCACATCACTGAAAGCAAACTGTACCCAACCTCTGCTCTGACTGCTGTCAATCACTGGGGCCAAGGAGTGATGGGGAAAAACAAGGAGAAGCAAAAGGACCGAAATGCCAGATTCCAGCTCATTGAAAACCACCCATGTTATAAAATTCTCTGGTTGGTTCTCAATAAACTGTTGTCGAGCATCTGCTCTAAGTCTGCCCTGAGGATTCATAGATTAATGAGATTTGGTCCCTGCCTTCAAGGGTCTGGTGGGGGAGAGAGACAGGGAAACAGATGAGTGGAGTATTTTCTTTCATTCATTCAAATATCTGTATTTGGACAGCTAATGTGAACAGAGTATGGGGGCATGCATATTGTGGATCCTGAATTGTAACGAGGATGCAACACTTGGCAGCTTTAAATATTTTAAGCAAGCTGAGCCATGGAAAACATCTTTCTGGCATTTTACAAATTTTACCTCTTTCCCAAAGCCATCCCTAATCATCAGGAGTTGGAAACTGTTGCCAGAAGTTGGGAGGCAGTGAAGCTGGTGGCTGGAGCTTTGGAGTCAATTTTAGACCCTGGCTGGGTGAACTCTGGCAAGTTCCTTCAGGTTCCTGAGCCTGGGTTTTCTTTGTTTAAGATAAATGGGAAGAAGGTGGGTTGGTGGGAAGGTTTTAAATCAGACAAAAAAATTGGAAAAGCCGCCTCTCCCCCTCTGAGCTCCTCTAGTTTCTGTATGCGCAGCTCTCCTGAAACAGTCTGGATGGGCTTACGGGTGTTTTTATGTACAAGTCTCACCTTTAGTAGACTGAGATCAAGGCAGGAGCCCCGATTGTTGGTCATTTCGGCAAATCTACACAGACCAGCACAGTGCCTGGCACGAAGAGGGTGCTCTCAAGTTCTTGCTGAATAAATAAGCGGTGGATTAGTTTCCACTCCTACACAGAATTAGGAACTGACCACTGTCTGTTCGGCCTGGGCTGTGGTGGTGCCACTGCTGGAGAGATCGTGGCCACAGTGCTTGGGCGGAGGGACTGGCCTGACAGATGAGGGGTGGCCTTCAGGCTCTATCAGCAGCTAGCCTGGGAACCCAGGGCAAATCACTCATTTTCTCTGGGCCTCAATTTTTACCCTCTGTGAAATGGGGAAAAAGGTATATCTACCTCATAGGGGTGTTGTGAAGTTGAAATGACTTAATAGACATAGAAAAATGCTGAGTATGTCACATGTACCGATCAATGGAAACTCTTATTAACAGCAGTAACAGGATATTCCATTTGACCAAACATCAAGGCGTATGTCTGACAATGTCTAGCTTAAGTATGTTGACTCATTTTTTAGGATAAAAGGAAAAATTTAGTTTTCAGCCTCTTACTAGGACAGGTCTGTCAATGGGATGGCTCAAAACTTGTTCGGACCCAGAGATTGGATTAAGAGCATCATGCAAAGGCTGGGAAGGATTTCTCACTTTTGTGTCTAACCTCAGGGCTGAAGTGAGCCCAGACTGAGTCAAAAGCTGTCAGGAGCCTTGCAAAGGTTAAAGCAGAGGGATTGGGGGAGGACATGCTAAACCCTGTAGAGCTTCAGTCCCAAACCCCTGGGCTGCGGACCCATCCTGGTCTGTGGCTTGTTAGGAACTGGGCTGCAGAGCTCCGTCTCCCACCCCACCCCCACCCCATGGAAAAAAAAAGTATCTTCCATGAAACTTAGCAAACGGTCTGCACAGCAGGAGGTGAGCAGTGGGCTAGCAAGTGAAGCTTCATCTGTATTTGCAGCCACTCCTCATTGCTCCCATCACTGCTTGATCTCTACCTCTACCTCCCATCCATGGAAAAATTATCTTCCATGAAACCAGTCCCTGCTGCCAAAAAGATTGGGGACCACTGCCACAGAGGAAATCCAATCCTGGAGCCAGCTCTCAGCTGCTTGCTGGAGTCCCCCCTCCTCTCACATCACATAACAACTTCTATAAAGTCAAAACCATGAATAATTTCAGGATTATTATATGTATCATAACTGAACTCAACCACAAGTTCCTAAATAAATGTGCATTTAAATAGGGACATCACCGAATATTTGTAAATTTCAAGAGACCCATGTGTTTGGTTCATGAAAGCTCTGAAGTCATTTGGAGAGATTTTGTTCCCTCTAAATTGAAAGGCCCCTTTAAGGGGTACCTGTGTCCAGGCCTGGGAGAACTTTCTAATGCCACCACCTGTGTAGACTGTAGCCCTTTCTCAATACGATGGACCCCCAAAATATCAGGAAGTACTAGGGACACCTCATGCTACCAGGTGTTAAACAGATGTTAGCATCTTGTTTAGGAATGTTTCCTGCTCACACTTGGGACGTAGCTAGTTCCTACATCTCCAAATTGTCTGATGTTAATCCCAGAGCCACCTGAAGAAACCCTGGGTAGTCCCCCGACCCCAGGGAGATGGGGCAACAAGAAATGGGGAATTTCTGTCAGAAGAGGCAGAGATGGCCGCAGGAAGAGTGAGGGCTCCAGAGTCAAACTGAGGTGCTGGCTGGGGGAATGAACACAGGTAAGTTCCTTGGTTTGTGAGTCTCAGTTTCTGGGGTTATAAAAATACAGAGATGCTAACCTCTCTAGAACTAAGGAAGGTCATGCATGGTCTGACCACCATCCTCAGCCTCTGCTACTCAGGGGCCCTCCATCTATCCTTCCGTCCTTCCTCCTCTCCTCCCCGGAGATCCTCTTCACGCCTTCATTGCAAATGGGGAGGTGTGGCAAGGCAGGAAAGTGGCCAGAGGGAGGAAGGCGCCAGGCAGCCAGGTAGGGGTGGTGGCAGGTGCTATGTCGACCTCAGTATACTTCTAGCCCCCTGCTCTCCCGGGCCCTTCCCTCTGGGCTGCATCCTCACCCCGCGCACCCGACCCAGGAGCACTTCCTCCTGCACGTGGGAGGGGAAAGACGACCCGACGGCATTCGGCGACTGGCCGCCCATTACAGTGCTCTTTTAATAGCTGCACTGGCTGAAACGAGGTTTCTAGAGGATTTCCTTTATTTGCCAGCTGCCTCATTTTATTACCGAATATATGAATTAATGAGCGACATGGCCAGCCAACGTTGTCCGAGTTCATTAAGGCAGAGCTATGGTAATTTCAAGGGCTCCCTTTGGGACCTCATCAATCATTCTGGAGGGTCTTACCTTTATTTCATCATTTTTAAAAGATGACTTGGGAGGCCCCTTCCACTGCCTTTGTAAGTGACCTCTGGAGAAGCCCACCTGGGCAAATCGGACCTCTCCCTGCCCGTTCCCGGCTGTCCTTGTAACACTTCTGCCAAGGCGGACCCTTACCTCCTGCGCCCCTCCCCCAGCCACTGCCCTCCTTTCTAAACTCACCACTGAGCTGGAGCTCGCAGAGGTGCTTCAGGCCTTGCTTTGTGGTGACCTCTCACGAAGCACAAACACCCAGGGCTTCAGTGGCATGTCCCATTATGTGGATGACACGGCTATTAGTAACCATGGCAACCTCCCTTCCCCCAGCTTTTGTGGCTCCATAGGCCTAATTTACACCAGTCTCTCCCAGATTTGAAGGGGTTATGTGGATCCAACAAGAGGGGCACCTTCCTTTAGCTGTGACAAGGTAAATATCAAGCATTTTCAAAGCCTTTGAGGTCAAAAGAAACAACCCTAAATCTCTGATACAGCAAACTTGAATACTTACTCTGAAAAAAGAATCCCCAAAGGGGAAAAAAAAAAAAGAAAGAAAAGGGAAAAGACACAACCTTTTCATATTTTTTACAGCAGTGAACGTAAGACGCACGGAGGGAGGAGGTGTTGTTCTGAACAGTGACAAGTGGACTGTAGAATGGACAGGCCTGAAGGGTGGTGTCCACACAGGCCACAGGCAGTGGGGCTGTCCCCCTGAGCACAGCCTTGCAAATAAGGACGTGAGATCTACCAGCCCCTATTCTGTTTCTTTTTTCAAAGAGCTTTACAAAAATACTCGTCCACCCCCAAAAATGGTAAGTATGTGCGGCAGTGCGTAGGTGCATTAGCTCAATTGAGCCATTCCACTAGGTACACAAACTTCGAACCATCTCGCTGCACATGATACACATACACAATTCTTATTTGCCAATTAAAAGAAAAGAACCCGTCATCCGTGTCAACATCTCTGTACCTAACAACCTTATGTTAACCCTGGAAATAAAAAGAAAGAAAACCCTGCTGCCTGGGGTGAGCAGGTGGAATTACCTGTCTAGGCCCGGCCAGGCTCGGCAGGGACGCTGTCGGAGTCCGAGTCGGCCAGTTCTGCCACGCCTTCTGCTGCGGTCTGACTCCAGCCGTCCGACTTGTCTGAGATGGCATCTTCCTCTCCGACGGTCACCTCCACGTAATCCACCACGCCCGACTCCTCGTTCTCCTCGCTGCCCGGGCCGTCCCGGCTACTGCCCTCTGACCTGTCCGAGGCGGCCTCCGTGGGCTTTGCTGGAGAACCGTCTTTTGCCTGCTCGCCGCCCACTTTCGCCCTGGGCACCGGCTTCTCCAAGTCCTCTTCGCAGAGCTTTTTGGGGTCCTTGCAACATTGCTGAACCACCTCGCCTCCGTTCTTTGGGCTCTCGGTGACGGGTTTTGTTGCTTTCCTTGCTAGGGTGTCGTAGCCGTGATCGTCCGCCACGTGCTGTTGCTGGTACTGCTCCATCCACTTTAAGGTTCCAGTTTTTAGCAAGCATCTGTTCTCCTTGAACCAGCGCACAATCTCAGTTCGGACCAGGCCTGTCTTGGCCGCTAGCTGGTCGTACTCCTGGGGGGTAGGCCACTGGGTTCTTGCAAACGTGCTCCTCAGGAGATGAACTTGTTCTTGACTTTTTGTGATTGCTGGTGAAGGGCTGGGCAGAGAGCTGGTTAACTGGGCACCGGAGAGCTGGTCAAGTCGAGACAGAGCACCGTTGGGGGCCACCGCATCCTGGCTCTTCTTGCCGGACCCCATGGAATCCAGGACAGCCTGTTCCATGCTGTCCCGGAGCTTCCGTCTCTCCGAGAACCAGGAGTCGATCTCTCTCCTGCTCAGCTTGGTCTCTACCCTTAGCCGATCCAGTTCTGCTTGTGTAGGAAAAGAGCTTTTCAAAAAGCTATCTTCCAGGATTTTAACCTGACCCTGTGTTTTCTCTTTGAACTTCTGCGGCATAAAGTCTGGGTATGCATGGTACGTGCGGCCATGTCTCGAGGCTGCGATGGCCAACTGGTCTTTGGCAAGGGATTCGCTGGTGATGTGGACGATGCCCCTTTGACACCGATACCGGTGGTCACTGAACCACTTCTTGATCTCACTCCTGGCAAGGCCGGTCAGTTCGATGAGCCGGTAGACCTCAGCATCGTCAGGGAACTGGCTCTGGAGGAAGCTCGCTTTGAGATGCGCTATCTGCTCCTTTGTCTTCTTGCGGTCGCTGGTTGGGGGTAACGGGGGGTTGGCCACAGGGGGTGGAGGCTCTGGCACCTGAGCGATGTGAGGACGCTTGGGCTCGGGGGCAGCTTGGGGAGTCACTAAAGGCCTCTTCTGGCTGTGGTTAGTCACTCCTGCCACAGCAAGTGTGATGGGGGAGCAAGAGACGGTCGTTGACCCACTGGTCACCTGAGTCAGCACCAGACTGGTCTGACCGAGGATCTGGCATGGTAGCGCTGTCTGCAGGATGGGCTGCGGCATCTTTGTGGGGGCCAACTGGGCAGGCAGCACAGTGATTGTTGGGGGTACCGACTGAATGGTGCCATTGAACATCTTCTTCCGGGCCTCTTCCACCTCTTCCGGGGACCAGCTGATGCCGTGCTTTAGGCGCTGGGTGGCAAACCAGATTCTGATGTGCTCCTCTGGGTGTTTGGAAGCAGCTGTCAGCCAGGACAACTCCGCCTGGGTCGGGTAAGGGAACTTGTTGAAGGAGTTGATCATGGTGGCATTTGTGTCCAGGGCAGAGTTGTATTTGGTAGTATTTAGTGGGACGGGGACTTTCGGGACAAGGTTGATATTTGGTGGCAGCTGTACAGAAGGCATGACGTGTCCTAACGTGTCTTGGAGGAGCTCCACGCCTCCCAGTCTCGAGAGGATCTCAGCTGTGTCTGTCACCAGGCGGGCAGTCCCTTCCATGTGGTTCTCGGGGGGGACCTCCTCGGGCTTCTTGGGTACCTTCTTGGCATCCGCTTTCGGTTTCCCTGGCTTCATGATGGGCGTCTTACTCACCGAGATCCCAGGATCAATGTCACCACTTCCGGGGCCACTGGTGGTGATGGACACGACATGGTTGGTGGCTTCAATGGACTGTTCTAAGACAGTTTGATTATTACGCTTGATTAACTTCAGCTTGAAGTTGGTCTCCCCGGGATGGAACTTGGAGTTGTGGTCAGACAAGGAATCGTACTTTTTGGTTGTGAAGTTACATTCAGCACACACGTAGAGGGGGTTGAGAATCACGTTGGGATGCTGCATGTCAACGTGCTCCGTGAACTCATTCAGGTTTTGTGTGGAGTATGGGCAGTATTTGCATTCATAACCTCCTTGGAGTTTTTTGGACTGGTTTTCCCCTGTAGATTTCACCTCTATCACTTCATTTTCTTTGGAAGAATTTTCAGGTTCTGCTGCCCAACTATCCTTGGCCACATCGGTCTGTGACGTGCCGATTCCTTTCTCTTTGGCCCTGTCTACCTCCTCGGGCACGTCTTGTTCTACTACTTGTGATGTCCGTACCATGCATGGAGTTGTAGATTTTCGTTTGCTAGCCATGCTGCCTGTCTGTGTGCAATGGCTTATTTTTGGAGAGGGGTGGGGAGGGGGGCAGCGAAATTCTTGGAACAAATAAGATAAAAGGCTTTTGGCTTTATTCCCCCTCAAATGGCTTTGGCTTCCCTTGAATGCTGAAGTCTACTGTTTTGAGTTTTCAGAACGATTTCAGCACAAAAAATTGCAACTGCACCAATCGCTAAACACGCCAGGGAGCATCATATCTGTGGACAAGAACAAAGACAGGGTCAGGGTCTCTTCACAATGCAAAAGAAACTAGCATTTCTGTCTGAGTCGCTCCCTTGACCCACCCCAACTGGCACCCAAATCAAATACCTACGTATGCACAGATGGCGTGAGAGTGGGTGCTTGTGAACATGAAAGATCATATTCTTCTTCTCTTCCCTTCTTTGGGAAGGAAGTGAAAACGGGCCCAGAGCAAGCAAACAAGGGCAAGGGTCAGCATTTCACATCTAGAGACAAAGGGATACAGAAAAGGTACACGGGTATCAAAATCTTCTGAAGTGGTGGGTGGGGTGGTGGAGGGGATGTTGCCGATGAAATGTGGCTGGGCTTGCAAGCTGCTTTTATTTACGGTGCATCAGAAGCAAGACTCTTCCCCGGGGCAGGCAGGTGAAATTCATATGGGCATCAGAAAATGGATATGAACATTTTGCCTCTTATCATAAAAGCAAAATCACTTCAGAAAATCCAGAAAATGTAAGAAAAATATACAGGAGAGAAAAAAGAAAAAAAACAATCACCTTCAATATTTTAGTTTTGTAGTTCCTTCCTTTCACTTGAATGGTTCCCCATTTCCTTAAATATTGAGCAAAATGGTTTTAAAAATGGCTGCATGTTATTACATTGAAAGGCTATCCCATACATAATGTAGTCAGTGATTGGACTTTTGCTGGACTTATTTCTGTTTTTTGGCTCTTATTAACAAAACTGCAGTGAATACCCTTAGTTCCTATCTTTGATAACCACCTTTGGGTGGATGCCTAGAAGTGGCTCTCTTGACTCACATGGCCAAGTTTTTCCTCCTCTGGCCTTTCCCCAGGGAGTGTATGAGAGGGCTGGACTTACAACCCAGCCTACACGAAATATTACCATTAAAAAGCCTTGCCGAGGAGATAGGGGAAAATTGTTTTAATATGCTTTTGTGCTTTCCTTGATTGCTACTAAGGTTGAACTGTTTTTGAAAAATTCACTTGTCATTTTTATTCTTTTGTGAATTGCCTGTTTATGCCATTTTCATATTGCAGTGTTTAGTGGTTTTATTATTAATTCGCAAGAGTTCTCTCCCTGTAAATAACACTAATACCTTACTATGTTTGTTGCAAAATTCTTCCAGTCTATCATTTACCTTTCGGTTTTGTATATGGTATAAATTAATATTTAATATAGAAATTTTAAGTTTCAGATAATAAGTTTATCATTCTTGCCTGGCTTCTTTCATAGTAATTTTATATTTCGAAAGTAATGCCTTACCTTGATAGCTGAGATATGTTAATCTATGTTTTCTTAAGAGTGTTTTAGCTTTATTTTTCACATTTAACTAATCTGGTATTGAATTTATCTTGGGTTAAGCTGTAAGACACAATACTGACCATTTTTCTTGAGAATTACCAACCATCTCAGTAGCATTAATGGTGTTATCTTTTCTTACTAATATGTGAGAAACCACCTTTATCATACACTAACTGTTTACCTTTACTAGGTTGTTTCTGGATTATCTAATCTGTGTGTCAGATCTAGCTATTGAGCCTTGCATTTACACCTTGCTTCTAAAAAACTTTCAAATATTTAGAGTGTGTTTTACTATCTGCTAGAGTGCATTCCTCCTCATTACTATTCTTTTGCAAAACAGTTCTTGATTATTTTTCTCATCCCATAAATCAATTCTCATAAATCAGTATCATCTGCAAAATAAAATCCTATTAGAATTTTGATTGGAACTTCACTAAACAAATAATAATTTGGAAGTACAGGAATACTTTGCTTATTAGGAGTAGGGTATATTAACAGAGCTTAGACTGGGGAACCGTGCCGACGCACAGGAGGTCCTTTTGTTTCATGGCTAAAGGAAGAAGATGTGTTTTGAAATGATGACAGGTGACATCCAGGAAGGGCAGGGAAAAGAGACGGCATATCATCTCTGGCCCATCCCACTAGCCTAGGTCTGAGTCCCACTAAAGAGAGGGATTAAGGGCAGAAGTGAAGAACTTATTTTTGTGAGCAACTCTGTGGGACTCTGGGCCCACACCCATCTGCTTAGGGGCTCAGGTGACAAACCTGAGCAGGACTTGGAGAGGGGCACTCCCCCATTGTGAGCCCAGAACCTGGCCCCTCTAGGCCTAGAGCGCCGGCATTTTTAGGCTGGTCAAATTCTCAGCAGTGACATGAGGGTCCCTTGGTGATGGGGTGGTGGTGGGGCGTGATGAGGAGAGGACACGGCCAAACCAGAGCAGAAGGCAGCCGTGTCCTTCTGTTGACCACGCCCACACTGCCACCTCCAGCCTCCATTTCCCCACCCACCTTCAGACTCTTGATCTGGCCTCTCACATGTGCTCTTCCAGAGCTCGTCTCCACCAAGGGTGCACAGGAACCCTGTCCCAGCCCCTGCCTCCTCTCCCCCTGGCGCCCATCACGCTCCTGCGGCTCTGCCAGGCGCCTGTGCCATGGCACTCCCCCAGAGCTGCTGGGTTCTCAGATCTTCATTGACAAGTCACCTCCACAGACGGCCATCCCTCACCACTGCCCCTCCATAAATAACGCCTCCCAGCCCCTACCTCCTTATCTACCTTGGCTTTCTTCATGGCACTTGTCAACAGCAGTTATCATATTTATATATTTTATGGTAAAGGGAGGAGTATCTACCTGTTTATTGTTTCCAGAACTGCACTGCCCAATATGATAGCCACTAGCCACACGTGCCTCTTAGAATTTAAATTAATTAAAATGAAATACCATTAGAAATTCAGCTCCTTAGTCACATAAGCCACATTTCCAGTGCTCAACGGCCACACATGGCTGGTGTCTGCTGTAAAAAACAGTGCAGGAGAGTTCCTTCATTGCGGGAAGTCCTAGTGGACGGTGCTACCCTACAATAGAGACTCCACAAAGGCAGAAAGTTTGCACTGTGGCTTCCCCAGAGCCTAGAACAGTACCTGGCGCATGGTATGCTTAGTTTGCCTTCCACAAATATTGTTTAAATATTAAATTAACTGCAGGGAGGCTACCTTGTGGGAATTGCAGCTCACACAGCGATGAGGTGTGGTAACACGTCATATAAATGCTTAATAGTGTGTGCGTGCGTGTTCATGCGTGTACGTGCACACATGGATGTCTGTGTTGGGGAGACATGAGTGGGGAAATTTTGTAAGGTGCGGGAGATCCTAAAGTTTTGTAGGGGCACTACTGGCAGAACAGAATTATGGCTAAATTTGCATCCACTGGCCAAGGGGCTCAGGGCATTTGAGTTACAATTTTCAAAAGAGAGGGAGCAATAGGAAACTTTCTTCCTACAGAACAAAGATGCCAGGCAGGAGTAGATGCAGGGGAGAAAAGATATTCCTTACAGAAACTTCCCATCATCAGAATTATGCAAATCTTCTGACAAGTGAGCCCTCCAAATGAGGCAAATTGTAGTCAAATGGCCTGGAAGTGTCTCAGTATTCCAAAAACTAGCTCAAAATAAACAGTATCTTCTAAAACTTACTCAGCAGCCAGGAATCCAAACCAGAGCAGATTAAGAAGGTGGCAAGAGGGAAGGAGAAAAGAGAGAAGGGGGAAAGCTCAGAAAACACAGAGTCTTTGAAAAATTCATCTCTTAGGGTCCCACTGATGGAGCTGCAAGAAACGCTGCCTCTGGGTCTGAGCTGGGCACAGGCACACCCTACCCCAACCTGAAGGCAGTCCCTAGGGCTGCTCCATGCGCTGGAGGAGACCAAGCCAGCCGGCAGACCACCACCCACCTGGAGCAAGAAACATCCCTACCTTCAGGGGGGACCATTCTCTGTGCCGCCCCCTTCTGTCCGGGAGTGCCACCCCTCACGGGGCAACTAAGAGCACGACACGCATGTTACATGAAAAGGAAGCCAAAGCTCCAAATACTATCGCCTCCTGTGTGTGTGTTTTGGACATCGACTCTGTTTTCCTTTGATGCAGTATGGCATTGGTTACGCACCTCCAAGAACCCCCGACCAGAATGGGGAATGCCAACGCCTTGGAATAAACAACATCGCAAGGAAATGACCAGCTTATAGAGACAGTGACAAGAAAGCCATTTCTGGCTGTCTGCGCAGGGCTTTCTCCGTCACTGCTGGGTGCTTCTTCCAGCGTTCCCCTCCCTGTGGCGAGCAGAGTCTGATTCTATCAGGCCGTGGCTTCCTGGGCGTGGGGCGGGCCCGCACCCCATGGACAGCTGTGGCTACAGAGATGAAGGAGCTGCAGCCCGGTGCTCAAGAAGCTTCCAGCTGGCGTATTAGTCCCCCAGGGCTGCCATAACTCAGGGCCACGTACTGGGTGGCTTCAGACGACAGAAATTTAGTCTCTCTCAGTTTTGGAGGCTAGAAGTCTGAGATCAAGGTGTCGGCAAGGGTGGTTTCTTCCGAAGACTCTCTCCTTGGATGTCTTTCTCCTGTGTCTTCACACGGGCTCTCTGCGTATCTGTGTCCTCATCTCCTCTCCTTCTAATACACCAGTCAGACTGGATTGGGGCCCAGTCTCAGGACCCCACTTAACCTAATTGCCGCTTTAAGGACTATCTCCAAATACAGTCACCTTATGAGGCATAGGGGCTTAGGAATTCAACGTAACGAAGTTTGGGGGAGCACAATTTAGCCCCTAACAGCTGGGCAGGGCACTGTCACCTTAACACCCCTTGATGGCACAAAAAGTGGTTCATTCAAGTAGTCAACAAACACTGATGGAGCACCTCTCGGCGCCAGATGGGGTTCCAGGTGCCGAGGGGACACCTAGCAGTGGGACAGACAGAAATCACCGCTTGTGTGGAGTTCACTATGGAGAAGAGTCAAGCAGGGAACAGAATTGGGGTGCAGGAGGGCAACCTGTGATTTTAAGCAGGGTGGTCAAGGACTCCCTCCATGAGAAGGTGACAGTGGACCCTGTGAATTGAATGGTGCAAATACAGGAAGAAAAAAGAGTTTATGAAACCCAGAGGAGGCCATACTTAATTTTGTGGGGCAGGGTAGAAGAAGGGTAGATAAAGGCTTCACAGGGGAGGTAACTTTCCTCTTCCTAGAAATAAAATGGTAATCATTTCTGTTAATGGAAGTTCTCCATACTTTCTTAATGAGTCTTCACAACAGCTCTGCAAAGCAGCTGTGATTAGCCTCCATCTGCAGATGAAAGAACCAAGACCAGAGAGGGTAAGTGCCTTGCCTAAGGTCACATAGCTAGTTCACGGCAGAAGCTGGGATTTGAACAAAGTCTGTCCAACCCTGTGCTCTTGGCACAACACCACACAGCCTCCCCCAGATAAGCAGGCTTCAAGGGGGGAGGGAAGGGAGAGTGATTCCAATCAGAGGGATCTAGTCATCCCAGGCAGAGCAGACAGCAAGAGCAAGTAAGCAAACATGCGAGGAGTGACAAGGACTGAGGTTGAGGGCAGGGGTTTGAGGGCAGAAGCAGTGGAGGAGGCTGAACAAGTCAGGCTGCAGAGTCTTGAACACCACCCTCAGGAGCTGGGATTTCATTCTGCTGCCAAGAGAGGGCTACGGCCTTCAGGGCAGGGTTCCGGAAACAGAGGGTCCGAGGCAAGCGGGGGGCGGGGTGGGATGGCAGGAAGCGAGGCACACCAGGGAAGGTGAGAATCCTCACCCCGAGCAGATGGCCAATAATCTTAACCAACCCCAAATTAAACAGTCAAGGCCCAGGCTGCTAAGTGGCACTCTTCCCGCCAGCCTCCAAGTTTCTCCTTAAAGTAGGATGGTGGGAGCTCTTCCCTTTTCATCTGGAACTTTCTCCCGTTCACTCGGGCTTTCCTTCCCCACCACAGAATGGCTGGATGATGTGGGTTTAAATGTGGCCGCGCTGATTCTCCCGTAACCATTTTCTCAGTAACAGCAGCAGCCCCCATTCCCTAAAGGCTTAGCATATGCCCAGTGCTAAGTTTCATTTCTCAAAAACCCTATGTGGACATTGAGGCTCAGAGAGGTCAAGGAGCTTGGTCAAAATCACACAGGCTGGAGCAGCAGAGCTGGGATACAAACTTCATGTGCAGACACATCACCTGGGGATCTTGTCACAACGGAGTCTGACTCGGCACGCCTGGGGCAGGGCCTGTGGATCTGCGTTTCTGACTCCCAGGAGAGGACGCTGCTGCAAAGGTGGGCCGCGCTTCGAGCAGCAAGGCTCTACGAGGCTCCCCCTGTCATGTCTTGTGCTTGTCCTTCCCACCCTATGTCCAGAGACAGGTGGTGGCCTTTCCTGACCTTTCCCCCTACAAGTGGCCCGCAGCCCCTGGGGGAAGGAAAAATGGATCAAACTGCCAGGCTGATCCCTGGAAACTCTTCTCTCGCGGTGGCTGCTCGCAGCCTGGCTGTCGGGATGAGGACATGTCTCGGCTCCTGACCCCCCTAGGGAGGCATGGGGGTGGGGCGAGGGGAGGAGGCCAACTGCAGACCCCTCCTGGGGCTGAGGGTCCCTGGCACTGGGGGCGTCAGTGCGCTGAGCCCAGGGAGCGCTCAAGAGCTGCTCGCTCTCAAGGAATCATCGCACCTTTGGGCTTTGACTGGGGACGCCACTTCTCATTTCAGAGCTTTTCACTGGGCTGTCAGAGGAAATAACAGGGCTGTCTCCAAGCTTTCAAAGGAGGCATCTTGTGGAGACATCAAAGCCAAAAAGGGATGCTTTTAGCTTCCCAGGGTCTCCTGACAGGGCTGTTAACAGATTCCGCCCCAGTCACAGAGGGGAGATCTTTTTTGTGGAGGGGGCAGAGAGGGATTGTTCCTTTGTGTTTCAAAATCACAACATTACCCTTACCCCACCCCCCCTGGAATTCTGGTGGGTGGCTGTGCTGTGAGGGGTGGGGGTGGGGTGGGAGGCTAGAAAGAGGGTCCTGGCTTCTGTCCTGAGCTTCAGCCCCCAGCTCTCATCTTTTTCTGTCCCCAACTCCATTTTTCTCATCTGTTGAACAGAGATCGCTTTGGGAAGGTCACTGGTGACCCTGAGTTAATTCCTGAGTTTCCTGATTTTTCTCCGTTCTACCTTAAATCTAAACTTGGATTTTGGGGGAGGGCCCTCCACCGTGGCTCCCAAACCTAAAAACACCCATTCCGGAGTCCCAGGTCCAGACTGATTAAACCCGGACACACCCAGCAGCAGGGCCCAGGAGTCTGTATTTCTAACTGGCAGCCTAGTTTGGTTGCATCAGCAGGAAGACGTCGTCTGGCTTTTTCTATTTCAGAACTGGTCGGGCGAAGCCAACCCTGTCCCGAGAAGACGAGGCAGCGTTCCCAGCTGTGTGCTTTGCTGCAGCTGGAACTAGAAACAGCCCGAGCTCCCGGTGGTGTCCGGGAGTGGACTATTGTTCTGCCAGGGGGATGACAGAGGATTCAGAGAACAAGGTGGAAATGGGAAGAACTGTACAAAATTATGATCCTGGAAAAGTGAAGACAGGATGCCGTGTGCTCCGTAACTACACACGGTGTCTTTAGAAACAGGGTCCACAGTAGGGAGGTCGGTAGGCTTTAAGAAGCTATTTCCTGCTATCCCTGTTTACCTTTCTGTATTGTTTAGTTGCTCAAATGGATACAGTTTTAAAAGGAAAAGGTCTGCTGATCCAGTTAAGTACAGGCAGGAAGATACAGTAATAAGATGCTGTTTACATGCATAATCTTCCTCATTCCCACAACACAGCTGATGGCTGTGCTGGCCATTTTACAGATGAGGAAACTGAGGCTCAGAGAGGTTCAATGGCTTGCTGAGGAGGGTGGAGCCTTGATAATCCTGGCTCCGCACCCACTGCTTAAACATAGCTGTTAATTGTTAACAATTCCATTTCCTGACACTAAATCTATAAATTAGATTTCTCACACATTCCGAGTGTCCTTCACCCTCTGGGAGTATTCAAAGGAGGAAGATTTTAATTGAATTGTGATGTCTTTTTCAACCTGCCGCTCCGAGAAGCTCTCTTGTTAGGCAGAAGCAAGCTGACATGATCCTTTCTAGTTGAAAAAGCTTTATGAGTTGCCAACAGATGAGATGAAGTTTGTGGCTGCCTCACCTAGCCTACCGCAAAAGCGCCAGCACGTTTAGGGGTGACACAGGGCTCTGAGAGGAGGCTAGGTGTCCTCTCAGTGGTGGGTTAGTGGTGGTGGCTTCAGACAGGGTAGTCAGTTTCAGGAGCAGAGAAAGCAGCTATGCCTGAGAAGGTGGACCTGTTCTGGGCCCATGTGAGCCTAGAGCTCAGAATTCACTCATTAACCCAGAGACAATGAATTCCAAAGCTCAGAAGCATTCAGCCCTTCATAGATGAAGACTTGGCCTTGAGGGGCCTTGCTTTCCCTCCGTGCCATTAGTGCCACCTGGCTGGCACGAGGCGTGCAGACTGGAGCCAGCATCTGCAGATTGAATCCTGGTTCTGTTGCTTACTAACAGAGGGGTCTACCTTCCTCTGGCCACAGCCAGGGTGCCACTCCTCAGCCCCCAAACCCACACGCGAGCCAGAGAACACCAAACACAGCGCGTTAATTCACCATGGCTAGCCTCAGTTCCTGCAGCTGTAACTCTGGTGAATCTCTACCTGCAGGATTGGTCTAAATGAGAACCTTTAACACTGGCATGTTCTGGGTTCCTAAAAGGGTGGCTTTAATCCAGGGGTCCTCAAACTTTTTAAGCAGGGGGCCAGTTCACTGTCCCTCAGGCCGTTGCAGGGCCGTTGGAGAGTGCGGCACACATTCCACACTGTGGCCCTGGGACAAGTCGGCTGCTAAGCAGGACAAGCAGCGGCGCCAAAAACACCGGGCAAGCTGGATAAATGTCCTCGGCAGGCCGCATGTGTCCCGCAGGCTGTAGTTTGAGGACGCCTACTTTAATCGGTAAGCTAGTATGAGGGATGAGGGGCTTGGCAAAGTGACAGTCATATGTACTGCTCCACCCTCCTCCCCACTGGGCCACCTTTTTCCTCCACAGCCCCTCTCAGCCGCCAGCCCGGTGGATCGGTGGATCGTGCTGCGCGTTTACACCAGCTCATCTCACCTGGTCCTGCTGCCAGATCTTTTTACTCCTTTTTGTTCCTGCCCCTCGATGTCCTATGCTAAATATTCCCATATTAATTCTCCTAACTTTGTCTGTTTTAGTAGAAGGCTTTGCGTTGTATCTTGCTGAAAAGATCAAGGTCACCTTCTTCCCCATCTCCACACATCTCTTTTCCTTCCGGCTGGTCAGGAGGAGGTCACTGGTCTCCCTGTTACATGGCTAATCTCCCCCTGGCCGTGGCGCTCGGGGCTCTCTCAACTCCCACCTTCCCCCTCTAGGTCCCCTTCCTTTAGGGTTACAAACACCTCAGCTTGCCATTTCCCTACGAAAAAGAAACAAAGCAAACATGAAACGCGAGACCAAATTTCCCACAAACACTAGATTCTGCCATCATCTGCACGCTGTGATACCAACTGCTGCTTTCTACAGCAGAGGTTAAGGGCTGGGCTACCCACATGCCTCCTAGGTCTGGCTCCGCCACCGTGGTGTGTGATCAAGGAGAAGTCGTGTCAATCCTCTGAGGTCGCCGCCTTCCCATTGGTGACGTGGGGATGAAAATGGTACCCACGTCACGGCACTGCCCAGAATACCCAGCGAGCCAATTGGAGCACAATGTCTGGCTCTGTGCCTGATCCATGGTGAGCTCTGCGCTCACAGCATAGGGTCCCTGTCATTGAAATGATGTCAAACCCGTCAAAGGAAGTTTGTGATCACTGCTTCTCTTGTTGCATGGTTCACCCCTCATCTCTGTGTATCCTGCTCTACCGACACTTTTCTTTTTGACTGCCAAATACATCCCACGCCACTGACTCTGCAGAGCAAACCACCATCCTTAAAAGCCTCTCCGGGGCTTCTCTGGGCCATGCTCCTTCTCGATCTCCTTCTCTGCTGCCCCTCCCATCTTCTGCTCTCAGCAGGTATATCTCCACGCCCCTGGCACTTCTCATCCTCCTCTCCATCTTCCTTGGTGCATTTGTCCATCCTGCAGCTCTGAACTCACCCTTGCAGATACCTACCTCCTCTCTCTAGAGCCCCAGACATTCCCTCCCGGCTGCCGGCAAGGAGGGACCAAATGGATTTGCAATTGGACAGAGGCTGCAGTGACCACTCTCCACTGAAAGCTGATTTTTTTTTTGAAACAAGGTCAAGACTATCCAAGAAAACCACAAAACACAATGTATGAATAAAAAGTGGATGATCCACTTCCACTCAGTTGGAGGACGAAGTCCACTTGCTCATCCCATCAGGAAGGTATACCTGAAGGGGAAACTTGGCAGAGCTGGGCTGGAAGGTCCTTAGAGTCTCTTCCAAGTGCAGTGCATCCACACTCATCTCAAATTTAACACATCTAGATCCTGAATCAAAAGTTAATCCCCTGCCTCCCAAACCTGACCTTCCCGTAATGCTCCTTATTCCAAATAGAAGCACCAGCAGCTACTTAGTCATTCAGGCTGGAAACCCGAATTCCTCGTGTTTCTTCACTGCTTCCCATCCCATAGTTTACTGTGCACGAGGCACTCCTGACTCTGCTTCCTAGTGTCTCCTAATTCTTCAGTGCCCTGCTCCAGGTGGAGCCCCCTCGTGGCTGCCCCAGCAACTGCCGTAACGCCTGCATCTCAGCCTGCCCTCTGCGCCCCACCCGTTGGATGCAGGCACTGCCTGTCCAGCGACCTTCCCCCTCCTCTGGCAACGGCAGTCGAGTTTTTCTAGAGAAAGACCGCCACACCCACCCTTGGCCCGTTAGGAACCCCCAGTAGTGTGTGTGTGATTTGGTCCCATCCAGAAACAGTGGTTAAGGAACGGCCCGACCCAAGTGCAGCAGTCAGAGCCAGTGTGACCTGACTCTGGGGCTTTTGTTGGAATCACTGGGAGAAAAAATTGTTCCTTTTCTGGTGGAGTCGCTGACGGGATCAGATGGAAGCCCAGGGCCTGTCTTGCCTCTACAAGCGAGGACATGCCCGAGAGCTGACCTGGAGGCCGAGTGGAGAGATGCCGAGAACCAGGCCCGGTAACACCCTGCCGAATCCCCCTGTGCCTGAATCCAACAGACAGACTCACAGACTTTCCCACGTCAGTCTGATGAGTCTTTTTGTCACTTGTAACTGAAAATGTCCTGACAGACACAGTTTCGGGCCAAGCCCCTTACTGTCACCATTTCTCTCTAAAACAGCAATGCTCAGCCTTTTCTTGCCACGCCAGCATGCCCAGCAAGACAGCGTGGGTATCTGCAGCACCCTCCCAGGGCTACTGCCGTGCTTGCCGTGCCGGCTCTCATTCCACACCAGTGCCTCTCCCTTAAGAAAGAACCCCAGAACATGAGTGGGAGTGACATTTTTTACAGGGGTAACCTTGAGTCCTTGCCAATCAAGAAAAGTAAGCCACTCACAATCTTCAGTACTTTATTTTTAGCAACGGATTTCTTGCTGCCGCATACCTTACAACTGATGCCATGACTGAACATCATGTTTCTAAACATGAACCTCATCACATCCTCCCCGTCTTCAACACCTCCCTGGGAGTACTGGGAGTGAGCTGTGGGAGGCTCCCTGCCACCAAACTGCATCTATACTTTGTTCCCTTCCTCCAACATTCCTGGTAGTTGAAAAGAGATGTACAGCAAAATACTTTTTTTTGGAAATACAAACACAGACCTCAGAAAAGAGGATGCAGCTTGCTCATTCCTTCGTTCTTGAGCACCTGCTATGTGCCAGACACTGCTGTACATACTCAGGGAATAAGACATAAGATTCCTGCTCTCCAGGACACAGAAAGTATGTGGAAAACAAAGAACTTAGAGATAGTGGTGAGAGCTGTGCAAAGAGCTTAAAAATGACATGATGGTGGCAGGAGAGCTACTTTCAATGAGATAGTCAGGGACAGCCTCAGTGAGGAGAGGACATCTAAGCTGAGATCTACGGATTGAGAAGGAACAGCCTTGCCACCCTAAGGAACATCACTGAAAACAGAGGAGGCGGCTCACTGACGACTTGCGACATTCTGTGTTCACCGCCAAATAATTTTCAGGTTATTAAGTTGTTATTTAAAAATCCTATTCTCTGCCGGGCGTAGTAGCTCGCACCTGTAATCCCAGCACTCTGGGAGGCCGAGGCAGGAGGATCACTGTAGGTCAGGAGTTCGAGACCAGCCTGAACAAGAGCGAGACCCTGTCTCTACTAAAAAAAAAAAAAAAAAATAGAAAGAAATTAGTGGGACTACTAAAAACATATAGAAAAAAAAAATTAGCCGGGCATGGTGGTGCATGCCTGTAGTCCCAGCTACTCAGGAGGCTGAGGCAGGAGGATCGCTTGAGCCCAGGAGTTGGAGGTTGCTGTGAGCGAGGCTGATGCCACGGCACTCTAGCCCGGGCAACAGAGTGAGACTCTGTCTCAAAAAAAAAAAACCAAAAAACCAAAAAACCAAAAAAACCCAAAAACTGTAAAAAGGACTTTGCATCCAAATACTATGCTCTGTCTTTACTGTCTGTCTTTACTGGGAGAAGCTGATGGAAAGCAGCCAGAATCAACAGGGCACTGGAGTGGGAAGGCTCTCAGCAGTGACCTACGTTGTTCATTAGTCAAGGCCAACCATGAGATCTGGGAAAGGGCAGAACGTATGTATGGTGGGAGGACCCAGAATCTCATTTTTCACCACCATTATGAGGCTTTTGTGGTCTATCTTCCTGGGGCAGGTGGGTGAAGTCTCCAGGAGGTGGTTGTGTTGGAGTGATGGGTTCTGCTGGGTGGCTGGCTGTCCTCAACGTCATGGTGGGTCAGGGTGTTTTGAGCTGAACTCATCCTGAGAAGCCAGTTAAGTAGAGCGGGTAATTCCATAAGCTTTGGAACTGGAACAGACCTAGGTTTGAATTGTAGCTTCAGCCCATACTTACCAGTTGTAGGATAGTGGCAAGGTACTTTACGTCTCCTAGATTTGCTTTATTTATTCATAATAAACAAATTTACCTGGAGCTAATGACCACCTCATAGAATTGTTAGGATTAAATGGCGTCATGCTTGTAAAGATTCCATTTTAACACCAGGTACCTGAAAATGTGCAATAAATGGTAGCAATATTATGATGACTTGAGGGCAGCTCCGCTAGATGTATTCTAAAGCAGAAATTAGTGTGTTAGGAAGAGTAGGACAAAAGTGAGGTTAATTTGATCCCATGGAGGAGATCGAGGTAGCTCATGACTCTGTATCCTGAGCTATGAAAATCAGGAAATTGTCTTTGTATGTGTACATCTGCCTGGGTTTCAAATCACAAATCTATCATGTTATAATACCTTTACTCTCCCCCTCCTTCTCTGAGTAATAATCTTGCAAAAAAAAAAAAAAAAAGCAACAAGATTCAGACACATTTAAAAGAAAAGTGGCTTCATTATTTTTGCAGTTGATCCCTAATGCTATCATCTTCTCCAAGGCAAAATATTCTTTCTCTGTATAGAAAGATTCATAACAGCCACCACCACATACAAGCACATACACCTACACACCCACAAACATGGAAAAACCAGGGCTGGGAGAAGAGCGATGTATTTCTGAAAGCAGAAAAAAAGGATCTTGCTGAGACAGAAAGAAAAAAAAAGAATCAATTCTGGTTTTATGTGTCACATACATAAATAAATAAAGTGCTATCAAATGTTTAAGATGGGCCTGCTCTGATTTACAATCCAT